TACAGTGTCAGTGGCTTCAGGCCAGCACAGACCTGAGCAAAATATTTATATCCATGCATCCACCCACAGCGACTTTTAGCACAAATCAAATGTATCAGCAGCGAAAGGAACAAATTCCGATGCATGCACAAGTTTCGTTGACGCATTTTAAGACAAATGCTTCAAGATATTGTCAAAGTTTATTTTAGATAGAGCCCCTGCTCTGAACAAAGGTGAACTTCCTGCGCTCTGCCTGCTTGTGGCCGAGGCCTAAGAACGATGATTTAATGTGACCGCTGATAACGAAACAAACAGGTTGGCGTGTCTGCTCGGCCCGATCTGGAGCAGAGCGGGCACACGGAGGCAGGGCGCTGCACCTCCTCGCCGCTAAATAAAGATCCACTTGATGGATACGCTCAGATAACATAAATCAGGATATCCCATCAGGAGTGACAAATTGCACCATTGTTTTGGTTCAAGTGGGCAGCCATCCTGACAGACAGTGTATACTGGACATGGGAGAGGACAGGAGGTTCTCTCTATTGAATCTTGCCCTGATGGGTCATGTCAGAACGGGTTGTTTGTATGCAGTTACACAATGTGTCGGCAGACAGGGCTCCATGTTCCACGTGAGGATGCGTTTCATAATAATATCTGTCCAGCGATGGCAGCCAGATGCTGCCGGTGGGTTTGTTGCTCAGCGAGATGATGATTTTGACTGAAAACTGGTTTTGTTTTGATGATTTCTTGTCTACAAACACATGGAAGTGGTTCAGGATCATGCAACGCTCCAGGAGGAAGAAAACATGGAAGAACTCAAAATCTGCTTCAACAGGTTCGGATCCGTCGTCGTGTTTGATGGGTTGTGAGTTCATTCACACACTTACAGAGATGCTCAAAACCACCAACCACCATCAACAAGTAGGTCCATCTGAGACCACGGTCTTCAGAGACAGAGAGCTCAGCAGATCTGAAAGCATGTAAGAGAGGTAAACATCCCAAAGTCATGCCACGGTCCATGATGACCTAAACTCTTCCTCTCATCGGCGTAGATTTCAACGAGAATCCTCCCATTTGTCCCCTCAAAGCTCCTCGAAGCAAATTACTTGAAAAACCAACATCTACTCATATATGTGATGTGTCCTGAATTTGCAGAATGTTTTATACACAACTTTTGCTGACACACACACACACGTATTATTAAATTCCAGGTTTTTCTAAATGATCAAAGTTATCTTCTGTTTTAAAATCACCACTTCTAGGGCAGAGCTGGAGGATTATCGCCAGTAGTTTTACAGCGTTCTGTGTTCTGTGTCGCTTCAGTTGAGCTTTCGAAGGCAGACTAAGCAAGGACATTCTAACAAAGTAAATAACTCTGGCGTTTGTGAAGCTTCTGTCAGGGTCCATGCGTTTGGACCCGTTTTGGCTCCAGTTCCTGAGGGTTGAGAGCAGGAACCATTTTGAAAACTCAGCTGGTTGTACAGTCAAGGATGATCTGACACCTGAGAGTTGAGAGTTTTCTGCAGGAAAACATCTCATCTGTGAGATGTGCTGCTGGACATGCAAATCCAGAAGACACGCAACACACAAACACGGGCATCGTAAAACAGACACGCTTAAATCAGTTGTTTCCTGCATTTAGAAGGAAGCTGTTTGTCAAAGTGTACTTGCACGTACCAAGACCTGCATCTGCACCAGCAAGTGAGTGAAGGGTCACCTGTCCATCTACAGCAAACTCTGAGGGTCTGAGAGCTGATTTATGACTTTGTGGAAGTTTAAACATCTATTTAAATCCTTTGCGGTGTGTAAAAGTCTGATGGAATGCTCCTTCTGCAAATGTGTGACCAAAAGTAAACCAGATTTTACTGCTTTTCACAGACTGACACTAACAGTCGCACACTTGTGTTCAAGCCGAGAGCTGACGTAAAGAGTTTAATATCAGTCCAGTGAACAGGAGTATCAGTTCAGACTGAGTGATCAGCTCAGATTGAGAGAGGAAAGAAAACATTAGAAAGGCCCGTCTAGACAAAACAAGGCCTGGTGCTCGGACCTGACCTGAAACGTGTGCCCCTCTCAGCCACAACACAATCGCTTGAGTACTTTGAGATACACAGAAAACAAAAAAGAGAGGAACCATGAAAAGTGCATGACAGTGTGAACAAAGGCAGGGCACGGCTTGCTTCCGAAAACAAACAGCAAATACAGCCAGATGGATTTTCCATTGCAGAGCTGTGTTAATGAGAGGAAGCCGGGGAGTGCTTCCCAGGGATTGCATTGTGATCCTGTGCACCGTTCCACCTTCAGCAGCTTGTTTGAGGGAAACCTCCAAGAGTTTGGCCCTCAGTCCTACCTGCGCTTCTCAGTCAGAGATGGTAATCCCCGCCTGGGATACTTGGAAATCAGCCGTCCAGCATCCGCCTTCAGCCTGCTATATGAAAGGATGTCTGATAATACTCTTAGATATACATATGACTCAGAAGTCACTCTGCCAAACTTAACATTCAGTCGATGCCAACTTCACTTAATGTTCTTCCTGCTCTGTCCCACTGATTCGTGGAACATATTAAAAATAAAAACAAGTGCACAGTGCAGTCAGAGGTCAGAGATATTTGAGATCTATTGTCGGTAACATGTAAACATCTTCAAGAAATAGTTAAAGAACTCTGAGACCTTTTCAGCCATATTTGAGCTTTCGTCGTGGTGCAGTTACGAGTTACACTGATCCCACTGAGTCATAAATCAAACACATGTCATCAGGTGGAAGGTGCTGCACCTCCGGCCAGCTGGCCGTCGCGGATGCCAAAAAATCTGAATCAGAGATAAACAGGTAGTTCATTGTTTATTTTCTATCTGCTGTGGAATATTTTATCCAATGACATCGTGTCAGCGTTACGTTCAATCCAGCATCTTGTCATTCGTTTTACATAATGTGCAGAATGATGCGTGCAGACTTTTCTTCACATATATCTGCTGAAGGGGGACGTTCCTCTGGGCTCACCTGAAATCTGACATTAAGATGTGGATCTACAAATAAACTTTTTAATATCACAGCTGGCTTGAAGGTCCGTTATGCCGCTTACAGAGATGGACTTGAACGAAACATTGGAAAAGATCCTGGATCATGCAGTAACTATAGTACCTGTTCAAACAGTGAAGGGTTTCTCCTCTGAAGGCTCTTAGTCCACCTGTGTTACATACAGCGTTCAGTAAAAGTCTACGGCTGGTTATTATCCATTATTACAGATCATTTTAGACGCTGCGCTCCGTGTTTGGACGATCCCAGTGGTGGTTAAATGATGATGACAAATAAACTGCACCTGATTCCTCCTGAGCTTTCATATCCTTTTGAGCCAATGAGCAACTTAGAAATGAATCTTTCAGTATTTATATGTAGGTATTTGTTCAGGTATTTGAAATATCCCCCTGAAAATCAAAAATCAGTCAGTAACAGCGCACAACTAAAGGGTCCATGGATCAGAAACATTTGGGAGAACGTCCTTACTTCTATTACCAGATCAGAGCGAGACCTGAAAAACATCCATGAACAAACAGTATCTTTACTACTTTATTTTTTACTCGTTGTCTTGGTTCTGGTTGTGTTTTTCTTACAGATAGAACCTGGTCTCGGTTCAGGACGGGAGGAAAGGTGTTCAAGGAGCTCAACCACAACAATCACGTGAATTCACACGTGGTGTTACGGTTTTCTCTGTTCTCATTAAAGCTGGTCCCTTTTCAATACGGTGGAACAGGCACTGAAGAACCAAAACTGAGTCTTCAGATTTCAGAGACAGACAACCGTCATCATCATCATCATCATCATCATCGTGATCATTTTAGAATCAGCAGTCACCATGGACGGCCCAGAGGAAGTCCATGCAGGCGCAGGGAGAACATGTGAACTCCATCCAGAAAGGCCTCAGCCGACCAGCAGGTTTGGGTTTGTAGCTAGCTGGCTAGCTAGATGGTATTTACATTTTTCTGTCCTAAAGCGTGTCTGGAGGGGATCTTGAACTGTTTTGATGTTTTGATGATTCTCTCTGGATGGACCTTGCAACTGCTCAAACTTATCAGCGACAGGAACAATCACTTTAATTTCTTTTCATAATTAGGTATGAAAATAAAGGATAGTAACATAGTTAGATTATGTTTGAATGTAAATTTCCCAGCAGATGAACAAAAGATGGGAACCAAATCTAAAACGTAGATCATCCAGATTAACTGAGAGTCCTTTGACCAAATTCACCACACCGACGTCGCTGCTGCTGTACGGTGATGATTAGATGTTCAAGCAAACAAACATGTCTCAGCACGTCCACCAGCTATAAAATCCCACAATTCCGCGCCTCATGAGTTATTTTACCATTTTAAATAGGCCATCCAGACGTCGAATGTCAGCCACAGACCCTCTGACTCGGAGGGGTCAGCGTGCAGAGCGACCCCCGCTGAGGCGGCCCGGCTTTGTTTGGAGAAGCCCACGAGCAGCTCAGACATGAAAAAGCTTGGCGGCTGCAGCGGAGGGGAAGTTCCCTCCTAGCGCTCAACGTAAACTTGGCTCCAATAAAAGCATCCGTTGGCACCTCAGCGGACAACAGGAAATCTTTGTTTATCAAAAAACATCCCGTTGTTGGCCTCGGGGTGCATGACCCCTCTTGTTTTGCGGCGTCATGTCGGAGCTGTGTGGAGCCCCATGTTTTAAGATCTGTTTATGCACAGAGCTGCCATATCCTTACGATATATAACAAAGGCATAAAGTGTGTGTGTATATGTGCCGGCTGCATACATTGTGCGTCAGTCCGCCTGGCCTGTTTGTCAAAGTGCCTCTTGGTATGTATTGTTTAACATAGCGGCAGACAAAGTGTCTGACACTCCCATGTTCAGGGGTCACAGCACCTAAAGTTAGAAGTTGGCAAAGACACAGAAGCATGTCCACTCTAAGAACTGACGTGTGTCAATACCCAGAAAAACAGCACATTTTTCACCTGAAGCACAAATGTTAAACCCACAATGACAGAACTCCTGAGTCTGTTTAGTCTACCCAGTCAATGGGTTTTATTGTGTTTCCAGCAACAGATCCATTTCTTTCACAGTGACAGTTCAACACGTTTACGTTTCCATACACTCCTCACAGGCAGGACTGTGCAAAGGTTTTAGGCACTGAAAGTAAAGTGAGGATGCTTTCAAAAATGATGCAAGTAATAGATTTTATATATCGGCTAACTCCATACAAAGTGCAGTGAAGACAAAAAAAACATACAGTTTGTCTTTAAAAGAGCACCACTTGTCATCAGTACACTTGCACACGAATGTTGTTTTTCCAAGTATCTTGAAGAACTATCAGTAGCTGTTCTGTGGATTCAGGCTGTCTCCGTCTCTTCATGTGATTTCAGAGTGACTCCATGACGTCCACATCAGAGCTCTGTGGAGGTCAGACCATCTGCTGCAGGACTCCTTGTTCTTCTTACGGCAGCAGATACCTCCTTATGACTCTGCTGAAGAATGAATCTGGGGCCAATCAGACGCCTCCCTGATGGTATTGTGTGGTGGATTCAAATCTAAACATCTAAAGTGCCTGTAACGTTTGCACAGTGCTGTACATATGCTCTATATACCAGAGAATGGGCATATATATAATTGAGTAAATATAGGTTGAACAGCAAACATTATAGATCATATTGCTTTGCATTTGCTAGCTGTTGCTCCTGCAATGATGTGAAGGAATAAAAGGCTAAAACATACTGAACACGTTACATTTTGATGATATCTTATGCTGCTGGTTTAGTCCTGTAGATGTGTAGGTCAACTTTAACATACGATAAATCATGGTGAGCTATGACAACACATGGTCTGTTTCACATTTCCAATAAAATGCACACATGGAGATGGAGAAATGTCAGTGAGCATGTACAGTACGAGCAGTACCTGAGGTCAAGTTTCTTTAAGTGGCTGTTACAAACATTTGGTACAATCAGTTTTTGGTCAAGGTGCATGTACATCTCATTACAATCTTCACAGTACGTCTGTGACTGCTCTCCTAACGACGGCTAGCCTTCTCTGTGACATTTATTTGTGTCTTCCACATTCTCAGCAGGTTGACACTTTGCATTTCTGGCATTTGCCCGGCGGTTTCGCCTCAGCCGCTGCTCTGAGAACCAGTTGGAGACGGTCATGGCGAGGCGGAGGAAGCCCAGGCTGATGCAGTGCATCTCTGAGGTGATGGGGATGTCGGAGAAGAGGGCGTGGTCGCGGCACATGAGGGCACTGCTGCACTCAAAGTCTTTAACGATGTTGAGGATCTCCTGCCGCTCCGCCTGCCGCATCATCCCTCGTACGTTCAGCAGGGTGGAGACGTGTTTCTTCCTGTGGGGAGGAAGGATGCGGAGGGAGGCGGGGGGTAGACGGGTGTTAATGGAAATTGGGTCTGTTTGGTGTCGAGAAAAGCTGTCATGACTCTGAGTAACAGTCACATCACTCTGAATCACTGCATCTGTTCCTGAGAACGAACACGAGTGTGACGTATGTAATTGGAGTTTTATAAGCTGGAACTATACTATACTATACTATATACTACTATACTATACTATAACTATAAGAGTTAAACTAATTTAGTAGAATTACAAGTTGAATGTCGGGAAAAAGCCACCGTGTGTGTCAGTACATGTCACTTGTGCTTCTGATGAACAAATCTTTGAACTCTTGAGTCATTTGTTTAGTCCGGTTGTGGGAAATCGATCTGACTTATATGTATATTGCATTTGATAGATCTTGTAGAAATCATAGATTTCTTACTTTCTGATAAACCACAATGTCTGCAAACATAAATGCTATAAATCTGCAGCTGTTCCTCTAGATGACCAAGTGTTGCAGGGCTGAAGACAAAGCAGGTCTCCCATCAGTTATTGTTTTACAATCCCAGGTCCCAAATGTCATTCTTGTTAATAGCTTTCTACAAAACTTGACTAAAGTCAACAGGAATTTAGATAAATGACTTCATAGCGAAGACAGTCCAGGTTGGACGTGATGGTAATCACACCCATGTGTGAACATGGTCACGTGTGCCGCCGCCGCCGCCGCCGCCGCCGCCGCCGCAGTTCAATGAAGCACCCAGAAAACTCAAGGAAGGCCGGCAGCCTTTGATCTCCTAAAATACCAGCAGGGGATGCCATGCAGTAAACAAAAGGGGGGAGCTAAGCAGTGAGTTAGCATGTCTCCAGGTCTGAACTATTATGTTTTCTCTTCTCTTCCACACCTCTCGCTCTTTGATTTAAAGCGTGGCACCAGTCTGTCTCCTGCAGGGTGGCAGGAACTGGAAGTACTCGGCAGCAGCTTCCTGTCTGCTCCTTAGAGGGTTATGCGTCACACACGGAGGTTGCCAACCGTCAACGGAGTCTTATTCTGTGCACAAACAGGCTGGGACTCCCCCCCTAAGGCCTCCCTGCCTCATCCATTCTCAAAACAGCCCCGCACTGCTCTCCAAAAATAGCAAAGTTAATGCAGATATGTTTCCGCGCTCCTTTTCCTTGTTTTGATCCATTGTGACAAAAAAACCATCCATAGTCTTACATTTTCCTATTTTGGCTCAGCGCCAAAGACAACATGGCGAATGTGTGGCAGTAAGCATAAAAGAATATTGGGCCTTTGGGGGACCAGCCAAGAAAATATCTGTTTTCATAGATGCTTCCTGGTTGCAACGGTACGGTTTCTCTGCTGTTAGTTTGTGACAAATGCTCACCGTATATCTGGAAACTCTTTCACCAGGACAGCCACCTCCATTTGGATGGAGGGCGTGTCCTCCAGCAGGATGATGTCAGCTAAGTGGCAGATGATGCTGTCCAACCAGGATGAGCTTGATTCCTGAAGTAGAGAAGACAACGGTTCGTTACTGTGCAGAAAAAAGTAATCATTACTAAATGCACAGTTATTTGTTATCATCGTCCATCTGTTATCTAGACTAGCTTCATCCTGAGGAGGGTCAGAGCCTGGCCCAGGTGACACTGAACGGATGGGGGGGTACACCCAGGACAGGTCACCGGTCCATTACAGGACCAACTCAGAGCGATGCAGGCTCACACCTACGACCAATTTACAATCACCAACCCTGTGGTGAGAAACACAGGCAGGTCCAGGGAGAACATCCAGACTACACAGAAAGGAACCAGGCCACCAGGAGGTTTAGAACCTTCTTGCTGTGAGGTGACTGTGTGAACCACTGCACCATCTTGCTGCCGCCGCATTGCATCTTCTTCAGACTAAACGTGTTTTTCCTTCGAGCCATGACATCCGGACCAGCAAACAATCAAGCCTTCAGAGGAAACACAGATTAATGCCTCTAAAGGCCAGAGGCCAAACATTTAGGTGATTCACTATGTGAATAACAAAACTCCACCTCTGCTTTCCTAGGTCTTGTTTTTCCTTCAAATACTCAGGAAAAAGAAAGCAGAATTCTTTGGCTTGGCATTCACTAAAAATAACGACGTCTTTTTTAGCCAGCCATTAAAAACTCATCCTCCCCCTACCCTGAGTTCCCAGTTTCCACAGACACTTCATCCCGCTCCTCGGCGAAAAATGCTATCAAGGCCATCCCAGAGGCACATCAAAGCCGGCCAGCTGACAGGAACGGGAAGCTCCCTCTGAACACAGCAGCTTCCTGTTGTCAGCCGAGGTGACGGACACTTGTTTGAACTTGCACACAGAAAGGGGGCAAATGCCACACTGTCAGGCCGAGTTGTTTTACACCCTCTTCCCCTTTTTGGCAAGTGCTAACGTAAGCCCGGTTCATCCATCTCCATCTCACTGACGGCAGCCATTTTTCAGAGCTCACTCCTGTATCAACACCGTCTGAGTTATTCCTGACCTAGGAAGTTCCAGGGTCACGCTCCATTCACAGCCACCAGACTGCATTCCCCTCACCAGCTCTGCTCTGCATTTTTAAGAATCAGCAGTTTGGAATTATTTATCGCCTCTGCTCCCCGGAAAAGCAGCCTTTAGTTCATTCTTAGAGGTTTTGCATTTCATTCCTCTTCTTCTTGAGGCACCTTGGTCACTCTAAACATTGAGCGTCTTGCAGGCTCAGACAGGCTAAATGTAAACCACAGTGTTTAGTGTCTGAACTCACCAGATCTTTGAAGAGTCCTTTCAGCTGCTTGGCCTCATCTTGCAGACGGAAAGCCATCCTCTTCCTCATCTTAGAGGACGTGCAGATGACGCGTCCCCGCATGATGGCTCGGACGTACTCCACCAGGACCCGTCGGTGCACCTCACCCACCAGCGTCTGTCGGTCACAACAGCAGCCGATCAGCCACACAGGCATCCAACCAGTTACTGTGTTCAACCAGAGTCAGCCCCACAGTTACCTGATACGGTGGAGAGTCCATCCTTCTGAACTTCTTGAAGTGTTGTTTAATGCTGGCTTCAATCGCCTCGAAGGCCTCAGTGTTGTTCAACCACTTTCTCTTGATCAGTTTGTCGAAGAAAGGCTGGAACGACAACCAAACATGAATTAATCATTAGTTAACTTAATGCTTCTACATGTTAGAGGGAAATATTAGGAGTAATATGAGGGAAATAGTACTTTTTACTGCACTATGTGTAAATGAATTACCAGCTGGTTTGTAGTCTGTTATTATACACATCAAACATATTGTGAGGAAAACATAGAAATCTTATGCAAAATAAGTACCTCCTTTATACATGAAGTATATTTAGCTAAACTACTACTATACATTTACTTAGATAACATTTTAAATTTTTTGTTTGTGTCTTTTTTTGGAGCCGCCCCAGAATATATATCTTCACAACTTTTTTTTTTAGTATTTTTATATTGTAAAATGACCACAGTTAGTTAACTAATACATACTTCTTCCACTGCTAATACAGGGGACAAAAAAAGAGACACACAAAAGAAGAATACTCAACATAAAAAGAACATTATTAATACATCATAAACACAAATACAACTGTCTAACCTGTCTCTATCACCTAACGCTGTGAGCAACCTGACAGAGTGCTCTGCATGTCAGTGAACCTTCAGAACATTGTGGGTTTGTTGTAGATTTAATTACATCTACATCATGGTTGTAAACATTTTTTTGTCCTATAGTGACTCCTTCTGCTGTGAAGGTCTTCACAGAAGATTCAAATATCCTTGGATTGTGATCCTGGTGGGAACGTTGTTGAAGGGAAACACATTCTAAGGACTGAGATGTGACTTGCCAGTGCTCTACTCACCCTGATGTGCTCAAACAGTCTGTCCGTCAGAACCCTCACTGACTGGTTCGTGATCCTGTCCAACGAGGAGTCGGCTCGTTGTGCTGACTCCTCGCTGCCCTGTGGGTCACACTGCCTGCAGCGCTCCACAAAGGATCTGCAGGTTACACAAGAAATATGACACTTCAAACTTACTCACTGCAAACCTTTGCGAAAGTGTTCGGATGAATAATGTCGCTGTCATCGTTTGTCTACCTGAGAGGAGGGCAGCAGTTGACCAGAGCGATGGTCCTGGAAACATATCCGTCCCCTCGGTCTCCAAATTCTGCCTGAGTATCATGAAACATCTCCACCTTCCTCTGGAAGCTGGACACATGGAGGTTTTATGTGAACTATATAGTAAAGACACTGCCCTGTAAACACACTGAGACCTGCACAAGCTGAACGTTGCCAATAATCCAGTGTAGGTGTTACTGTACACCTGCTGAGCTGTTTGTCTTTGTCTGTTCCAGACCACAGAACTGAAACCAGATTTTGCTCCACTTGTTCATACCACGTTATTTAAGGTATAATAGAAGCAGATGGAGCGCCACCTGTGCACACTCACCTGTAAAGAAAATCAGCCAATCCAATGATGCTACAGCGAGCCACTCTTGCTCCTAGAAACTGGTTCACAGATGTGGATCTGTCCAAGTCCACCTTCAGTCTCTGGAATTGTGAAAGATGGAGGCGATAAGACAGCTGCTAAAGAAATTCACTAAAACCATGAGAGAAAGTTATCAGGAGCGTGCAGCCCATTACCTGGATGACTGAGCGTGCCAGGTGTGACTGATACTCCTCTATGTGCAGGGTCTGGGCCCATCGCCTCTCTTCTTCATCCAGAACCTGGATCAGCTCTGTTGTCACCTTATCCTGATAATTGCAGCATGACATTAGAATGCTATCCAGATATTTCAAAGGAAGAACCAGTAAAAAGTCCGTGTCTCACCCTGACTATACTGATGCAGTCTTGTTCCAGCCGGTCCACCGTGTCTTGAGCGAGAATGGGATCCAGGGTGTTGTAGTTGATGGGGGTCATGGTGCCAATGGTTCCTAGAACATCCCTGGTAACACATGACAAGTGATTATAAAATAATAATATAAGTTTGATATGTTGTTTGTTCCTTGGACGAGCCAGTAAATCCTGTCATCACCAACCTGTTGTAGATGTTGTAGAACCAGTCCAGTAGTGAGTAGACGTCAGTGATCTGCAGCGGGCCACTGGTGATGGTTCGGAGACGTTTGGCCACAGCTTGATGGTAACTTTCCACATAAACCTGGAAGGCAGTAAACTCCTCTGGGTAAATGGACACAGCGTTCCTCTTTGCTGCATCCAGGTCATCCACCATCCGACTCCTCAGGCGCTCCAGGTATGAAGCCAGCTGGCCCGCCTGGGTGTCCACCTGATGGGGCAGGCTCCAGTCCGCGGCCTCCGCCACCGCCAGCCTCCACTTCATCTTCAGTCGCCTGGGACGATGGTTTGGCTGAATGTGGAGGACTTCTCTCTCTGGCTTGGTCTCCTCTCTCAGGGCCCAGGTAGCATCAGCATGCTCTTCCTGTTGGATGACCAGCACCACCAGACCAAGGTTGGGGCCAGCGCTGGGCTGGCGAAGGGACTCCCGCACTACATCCCACATCTCCTTCTGCAGGGCTTCATACAGCAGCTCCACATCCTTAGCCTTCCTCCGGCTCGAGTCCAGAGTTACATTGGAGCTGAGGGACTCATCGAAGGAGGAGGATGAAGAGATCATGCCGAGTGAAGGGCTGTGACACAGCGTAGGAGTGAGGGTGGGAGAAGCTGTGGTTGGCAGGAGAGACAGCAGCTCACACTCCCGCTCCAGCTCCTGGATGTGTGTGTCGGCCAGGAGAAGGTCCCTGTGGTTGACCAACTGTAGGATCTCCAGAACTGTGGGGAGCAAGAAGATGATAGACGAAGATTTTCAGTTAAAAACAACAACAACTGGACTTGTGTTTTAGGTTCTTCTCTTCTTCAGTTTTTGGATGAGAGGTGAAAACATCCTAAATAACCTAAAAGAGTAGCGTAGCTGCTTTTTACTGAAGCTCTTCTCATCGAGGTGTAGATGACTGAGAATCTACATCGATTTCTGGCAACTGTCTCAAGAGGGAGGGTTCAGCTACAAAGGGACAAAGATCTTTTCTTATTGAGTCGTTGTGCTTGTGCCTCACTGACAAACTATCTGCTGCCCTTTCTATGCATTCTTCTGTTTTCTGCCAGGTTCTCTGTGGAGTCTGCCAACAGTAGCTTGGTTGAACTTCTATCTAGAGGAACCTGGGGTAGGAGGAAGTGCGGTCATTTCCTGGTCTCAGTCTGCTAGTGAGTGAACCCAGTGACTCAGGGGTCTGGGGAGCTCTACGCCTCATCAGAGAGTTGTCTAGGACTGAGAGGAAGCACCGCTGAAGCTTGACCAGGAAGAGCAAAGTTCTCTAAAATAAGGAAACTCCTCTCATAAGTCTTCTAGGGCTATCCGATAAGTAAACACCAGTGTTTTCTTACACCTGATGTTTCCTTGCTTATCACCTGAGAGGGGCTCTCTCTTTTTGACCACGGGGTCCTCCTCCACCGCTTCCTCTTCGGTCTCTTGGGACGCCTTGTCTGACATGGAGTCTCTCTTCAGTTTGCCCAGACTGACCATCCTGAGGAAGGACGACCGTCTGGAAGCCTCCGCCTCGCTGTCTGCGCTCAGGTCTCCACAGGGCAGGCTCTCTCTGCGCTCCTCCTTACGTCGACCTGTGAAGCTGCACAGCATCCACAGCAGCAACAGAGAACATAAATGACCGCTGCCAACACCATCATGAGCTTTTGTTTCTACCGTAGAAGCAGCTATGTTTGGAATGCCACATATTCACACATCTGCTGCACACAGAATGGCCACTTCAGTTAAAAATAGCCCCATTCAGTGAGCACAGCAAGTACACAACATGTCAGGGAAAAACAAAAGAGGTTCCGTAGATCAACAGGTTACTATAGCGCATTGCATAACTCCTCCGGAAATAAGCACACTATATGCTGTTCTATTACTGACCAGCAAACGTAACAAGGGATTTTCCATTTCTCACTGTCTCCTCTGGGACTCAGCAGCTAAAAAGAAAATGTATTTCTAACTTTCATACACATTTTTTTCCACCATTTCATTTCACTTCATTGATGGATGGATGAATCTAGCACAGCCTCAGCAAAGGCTTTCAGCTGCAGCGTTGTTTCATAAGGATGGAAATTTACGGCTTTAATTACATCTTAATCAAAGGTAAATGTGTTTCTGTGTACACTGCACAAGAAAGTCAGACATTCACATTTTTCTCATTTCAGTGAGACAACAGCTGAGATGGTGTGAGTCGTCCTCCTCACCGGAGCAGGGTCATAATTCCCTCCGAGCTCCTGCGTAGTCCTTTCCTTTTCTCCCTCTCTGCTGGGAGTGTGTTTGAGTCTCCGGGGTTGTAATGTGGAGAGTGGTTCCCCCACACGTTGCGTCCCGATATGCGGAGCCCCTTCCCCAGTTTTCCGAGGGTTTTGAGGGGCGACACTCCACAGATCCGCTCCAGGGTCCCTCTGAGCGGTTTCCCTTTCGGGTTTCCCGCCCCGTGTCTCTCTGCGTTCACCTCGTTTTCCTCCTCTTCTCCGTCACGGGAAGACCTGAGCTGGAGGTTGCCCCTGACCTCCCCCATGATGAGGCCCGTGTCACCTCCGTTTCTCTCATCCTCATCCAGGTCCACGTCCTCAAAGGGGTTCAGGTTCCTGTTCAGATCCTTCAGGTCTTTCAGCTCCTTCAGGTCATTGAGATCATTCAGGTCCCGGAGGTCCAAGTCCAGCCGGGGCAGAATCAGTTCACCGTTCACTCTGGGGAACTCGTGGCAGCTCTTGGACCTTCCTGGGAGCTTCTTCAGAATAGGCATGGTTGCAGCTGATACTTTAACAAACTGCAAAACAAGGACGGTGTGAGATGCAGTCAGAGCGTCCAACCAAACAACAGCCAAGATAAAATACTTATTAAACCAGCTTTAGAATAAATACATGTTAAACTTTTACTCTCAGTCTTGTGCAAAACTTTAAACGTTGCGTAAAACACAACTCATAGAAACGTGATGCTGACAGCATGAACAACCATAAATTCTCTAAAAGTCCTCGTGTGACTGTACATTGAACTCGTGAACTGTTGAAAGCAGTTTTTCCGGCGGTCCTTCAGCCATCACACGGTTTATGTAACTGGAATCAGAAACATCCTTTCACATGCTGCTTATGTAATGGCCTTCACTTAGCAAATAGGAAATATGCATTCTAAATATTGCTGTGTTAACACTCGCCGAACTACAACCTGGTATAAATATTATGCCGTGGACAGAAAAACTATTGTGTTGACCTGCAGCCTGTTGACAATAAGCAGCACACGGGTGGTCAGAGTGTTCAGAGAGCAGATTAAAGGTTTCTCTTTGACTTTTATTTCTTGACATTTTACATTAAGATGAAAGCAAAATAATGTGGTTTTGTAGGCTTCTGAATAACATGTATTGATTCTATAACAGTCTTCAATCAGTGGTTTATCCGTCTCTAAAGTTCGGGAGGGAACAAACCCACCAGACCCGTTCGTTGTTTTACGTCTGCACTGTGTGAACAGTTATTAGGGAGTTTAGTATTCTGACCATGTCGTCCAACTCCAAACAATATAAACTTGAATCTAACTTAAACGTTTTTGGAGAAGAAAATGTTCAAATTACACGCAAAAGATTTAGAAACATGGTCGAGGTAGAGACGGCCGAAACACCACTGAATAAGTTTCACGAGCTAAAGTCTCAAGATTGAGCCGAGAAACTTTTGAAGACTGAAGATGAATCTTCGTGGAGCTGATGGAGGGATCTGCAGCTACTGGACAAAGGACACCACGTTGAGTCAGACATGGTGGAGGAGGGATGCTAGCTTCACTTAACCAGCCCGTCTGGGTGCCGGGATGAGTACAGAGGAGCTTGTCGGCCCTTTTCAGGCTGAATTTCCACTAAAAAAATCAATTTTAAACGAACGACTACAGGTTTTTGGAAGCTACTTATTTCAGTCAGTGGGACAAGAAGAAGCCCTTCATGCATCATTTTTATCCAGCACAAAGCTCCATCGATGCAGTTCTGCAGGTTCACCGCAAAGATGACCGACTAGTGACCTGGCCTCCTCCCTCTCCTGACTTACATCGTACTGGGATCCTGTGGGCTGGTCCATGAGATCTACAGTGAAGGACAACGCTACACCTTCTGAACCACGTCTTGGAGGCCGTGGCTGCTGCTTCGGTCAAAGTCAACGATGAATGGATCAAGTGACTACTTAGCTCATTTAAAAAAATCATGTCAATGTAATTTTGTGTTACACTTATTCTAAAAAATTAAGAGTAAACAGGTGAAAATAATTTTGCAATTTAATTCTCTAATAACATATACATAAACAGAAAACCTCCCTTTCCTTGTGTTAAACATTCAGGTTTGAGGTTCAGATACACTTTGGATTTATGGTATTTGCTCAACAATGACATGAATCCTGTGGGATACAGTTTTTCTAATAACTGTGCTCACAGTGTGAGTTCATGACACTGAATGACGTGTTCAGTCGGTGAGTCCTTGTGCGCTGTATTCACACTCTTCTATATAACACCAGGACAGAACGGATTTATGTATTTCAGGAACTAGTCCTCTGTTTTCTATCGCACACCTTAAAGGATAGTTTTCCAAAACTTTTCCAAACCTTTCCTGACATGACTAATATGTGGCAGGAGACAAATCCAGTCTTTTTACTGTGAAATGTTCTCTCTGTGTGTTTTTATCCCTCCACCACAGCTCAGCAAGGAAACACTGTCCAGGAGAACAGAAAGTGAAAACTTATATCCTAAAAAGACTCTAAGTCTCACAGGCATTTTAAATACACCTCATCATACACTTTGCACATAGAAGGACTGTAGATGTTGTCCTCCATCGCCAAGTCTAAAGTCAGTACGTACAGGAAGACAACAAGTATTTAACTGTCCTGTAGAGTTCCATTCAAACCTCATTACTACCTCTGTTTTTACTCTGAAACTCCAAACGCAGATCCTGAAATAATCTAATGCAAGAGCTGAACCCGGAAAGTTTGATGTGAAACCTGAACGTCCTTCAGATGGATGAACATAACTTCAGGGCCTCAGGTTACAGAAAGCATCATGAACGTTATTATACAAGTCTGACACAACGGTATGCTCATGACCGCCTTTCTGAAATGGGACTGAAGCTGCTGTGTCCATATTCTTTGCAAAAAGCAGATTCGTGTCTCAGCGCTGGACTTATGTTTGCACACCTGGAAGCTTCTTTGTGTAACCTCTGTCTGCTGCCTCGCTCCAGGCAGTGGGACTAACTGACAAACTTTCTGACCACAAAGTAATGACGTTCTGGTTGACTTGTAATCATGTCTGCAATTAACTCCAATTAATTAACAACAATTTGATTAAATTAGGAAATGTGTCTGTGATGAACAAAGGAGACAAAGACAACGCAAAAATGGTCATCAGTGCACGCAAAAGTCATAAAAAGACGACTTTTCTCATTTTTATGGCAAAGAAATTCGGTGTGAAGCACCAAAGTTCTTGACATTTTTGGTTTGGACTGTGGCTTTTTCTCTGGTGGAGCTGTGGCTGCTGGAAGAGCAAATAGCAGGGGATTTAAAAAAAAGCATCTATGAAATGATTCTGGATTTCTTGCATTTTAAAACTTGCTAAACTTGCACTAAAATGCTTTCAGGGTTTTATTTTTTTCAGCTTTTACACTTTTTTCTTTTCCTCCTGTCATGTTGTTTTTTAGAGTCTGAACTGAGTCGTCACACATTCTCCTTTACTGCTCATCAGAAAGCTCACAAGAGGGGGAGACAGGAAAACACTCGCAAAAGGTTGTAAAGCAGCGTTTTCTGGAGAGAACAATAGGTGAGAGAAAAAAGCAGCTCTCATTAAAGTCAGATGTCATTAAAAGATGAAGCTAAAGTCCAAACACGACGGTGGTCAATCAGAACACATGACATCTGACTTTACAAGAGGAATCCCTGAACAACACAAACAGGTTCTCTAAGGAACCTTTTAAAGTCTGTTTGCATGAATACAACACATGCACATATGTTAGTCAGAGTTAATGCAGAGAAGTGAAGAATGCACAATGACAGCAGCTCCAGTCATGAACCAGCTGGTCTGGATGAACAAAACTGTTCTTTAAGATCCACATGAAAGCATCAGAGAAAGCAGAGAAGGAGGCTTACCTGATGACGACGCCGTGCTGTGTCTCAGTCCAGTGTCATCCTGGAGTGTGCTGGCCGTCGAGCTGCCCGGCTGAGGACTGTGTGCATGTGTGTGTGTGCGAGACACTGATGAGTGTGAGAGCGTGTCCGAAAGTACTCGGTGACTCAAGAGAGCAATGTGGCTGCCTGTGGTTTCCTGACGGGTTCTATTGTGGTGGAAGGTGATATGTTTTCCTGAGGAAAGGCCCGTCCCGTCCTTTCTACCCCTCCTACACCACCGACCCCCGCTCCACCACCACCCACCCCTCCACCCGCACCCAGGGGACCCTTCTAATTACACTAATTGCATTAAATGTAGACTGAAGGCCAGAACATTCTCCTGCAGAGTTTTAAGCTGTTATCGGCTCGTCGCTCTCGTTCTGTGTTTGTGATTTCTGTAAGAACAGAAAATGAGCCGTGAAGATGATTCAGTGTCAACAGCCTTGAGTTGGAATTCCATTCGTACACCATCAGCGGTGTAATTTTCCTCAGCGGAAGACTTTAAGTGGACCGATCCGAAGTATGACAATCAACACTCCTGCTGCTATACTGTCTCTGCTTTACTGCAGAGCTCCAAGGTCAGAGCAGCCGTGACATGGCAGCAATGTCACACAAAGAGCACCGCGGCAGGACAAAGCAACTGGAGGATGTGCAGTAGGACAGGGATGTGTGTGCATCACAGGCGCTTTGTTTTTCAATTTGAAACAATAATCAGGCAAAGCAACATGTCAGTGAGCTGCTGTAGGACACTCATGGCTGAACATTTCCCACCGTGGCTCCCCCCTGCCCCCCAGTGTGCACTGTGGCGTAGGACAAGAGGTGGTGTTCTGCCTCCAGCACAGTAAAGTGCACCAATCAGTCAGTTTAATCTTTTTTACTCGTGCAGATTCCTCCAGTGTCATGCAGCCAAACCTGTTGTTCAGCATGACGTCCACGCTGCATTCCTACAATTCTCTCTTGAACCTGCATTTCACAGCAGCTTCAGTTATTTCCACACACACAGCAAACAGACTCTCCAGTTTATGAGCTGCACTTGTACAATCTAATGCAAGCTGATTTTGTACCAACAAAAGTCGAGTCTTAATGTAATTTTGCGCTTAAATTTTAAAAATTCAGTGTTCAGATGGTCTCAGCTCCTAAACTGGCAGCACGGATACATATCTGAAAGCTCACAGGGTTGGATTAGGATATATTCATACATCTGACATCAGGGATCCGTTGAATATAACGATTTGACCAGTAAGCAGATGAGCAGGTCCTTCTACAGCCTAAAAACCAACTTATCAGTGCTCTCTGCTGGACAAGCTGCAGAATGGAGACACTGTCTGCAAATAACATAAAACACATCTTTGATATTTCTTTACACCTATCAGCTGCCATGATACTGATGTATCTGCACTGAGCAGCTGATTTCTGATGCAGTGTGATGGACAGGTAACCAGCCTATCCCAGCTGACTCAGGGTGAAGGCAGGTTCACCTGGACAGGTAACCAGTCTATCACAGGGCTACACTTAGAGACAGACAACCAAGCACACTCACATTCACACCTACGGACAATTTACAATCACCAATTAACCTCAGCATGTTTCTGGACTGTGGGAGGAAGCCGGAGAACCCGGAGAGAACCCACGCTGCACGGGGAGAACATGGAGACTCCACGCAGGAAGATCCCGGGTGTCCTCACCAGGACGCCAACCAGAGACCTTCTAACTAACCACCGATCCACCTTGCAGCCCCACATTACCCATAAATGATTTTATAAAACGCTGAACCATTAAAGGCCACAGAGAGTTAGCTTAGCTTAGCATAAAGACTGGAAACAGCTCCTCTGTACGGTACAGTCTGTCACCATGTTCTTTTGTTGAATCCGTCCAAGAAGGCAAACGTATGAATGAAACTGTGGTTTAATGGTGGGCTGTGTGCCAGAAGACTTCTGGGCTTGGACCAGTGACTGTATTCAGTCCTGCACAACTACATTCTCAGTTATGTTCTGAGGAAACACATTTTCTCCTTGAGTACATTAATTTGTGTTTTTATCAAAAATGCATTTCAAACCTGCATCTTTTCTCGCTCTCGTACTGTCCTCCTTGTGGCCTTTATGCCTCCATCTCCTTACATGGATTTTGCGGCTCATTCAAACCAGACACATTTCTTACTTTATCGTAGTTTTACCTTGTTATAGAGAAAATGCATGTCTGTGATTTTTGTGACACTGGTGTCTCCTCTTAGCTCCTCCCACTGGTGTCTCATTAAGATCCTTTGTGATGGTGGAAGGAGACGATTTCTGGGTCATGGCAGCAGAGAGGAGGCAAGGAAGTAAGAAAAACATAAAGCAGCCCGGGTGTCTCATTCCACCAGGAGAGACTCCACAAGACTAAGCACATTTATTAAAGAGCTTTAGAAGTACAGTGGGCAGCGAGCCGTTTCCCACTTTCCTCCCAGTTGTGTTCCAGTAAAAGATGTTAATATTTCTTCCAACACTGTCCTGTTCAGATCAGCCACATGGTGTCGCTTCCTCCCGGCCTGGACATAAAAACACTGCACCGACATTTAAGGAAAACATTTTATTAGCAATTTCTGCCAACATCTGACATCTCTCTGCAGAATTACAGTTTAGTGAACGTGTAGTAACGACACAGTCCAAAAAACAGAAGTGAAACGTCAATAAACAGCCACAGAGTGTGAGTCATGCAACAGGATTACTTCCAGTGTTACGTCATACTGGGATGAAGGATCCTCGTCTGTCTCCTGTAATCATGGCAATAAATAACCATCTTAATTTAACTGATGTTAAATAAGTCCTACAGGTCTGCACGTCTGACGGCAGTGTTACTGTTTGTGTGGAACAAGCTGCAACCGGGACTCAGTTCAGCTCAGCAGTGAAGTCAGACGGAGACGTTGGTGGAGAATCCATCCTCTGATCATATCTCAGAAAGAAGAGCTCTATGTTTCTGTTGATCCTACTTTGCTGTGAGACAGTCAGAATAAGCCGGTGAAGGATGTTTCCAGTCATGTACAAGTGAGAGTCCCGTATTAATAAATGTGGTCTGCTGTTTTGGATGCTGTTAGTGGAACATTAGATGTTGTTTTCTATTTGATTTCCTCTTGTCGGATGTCTAACTTCTCTTTGATTGACTTTAGATGGGAGAACTTATTTCTACGTCATGTTTTATTGAACTATCCACCAACAGAATACGTCACAGAGCTGTTTAACAAGTGTTTAGAGGAACGTTTTGCTAAATAAGCTTGTTTTCTGTCAGTGAGTTAGAGGTCTGGTAAACCTACAGAGGCTTTTGTTCACTTTTTCAGATTAAAGTATTGATATATGTTGCTGACATTTATAGATCCTAAAGACTACGTATGGACTTTTTCCATTGGATGATAAATGTGGGCGTCTATAGGACCAGACGTGTATAAACATGCGATGCCTCCTTTGTTTAATCCACATATAAACTGAAGTATATAAACTACATGTGGTGGTTTCACGGCGGGCTCCGTGCCAGACTAGTTCTTGGCCTGGATCAGTGACTTCCTGGAATCTTGTCACCACCCTGAAGTTGCCAGACAACCAGCGGAGACGCCACATGGTGATTAATATTAATTAGTGAGCTTTAGAGGTGTTGGTGGACGGACTTTGTGTCTTTTGGACAGAGCCAGGCTCGTGATTTACCAATTTCTGTCTTTTTGCTCAGCTGGCTTTAGGTCTATTTGTACAGATATGAGCGGCTGATCGAGTTCATTAAAAGTTTTACAGTAGATTTAATCCTTCACTGATTTCTGCCTTTTGTCTTGATGTCAAACAGTTTGTGTGTGTGTGTTCCTGGGTCATCAGAAGGTCTGGTTCTGGTCTTGTTTGTGCCGGAAGGGTTGTTGCTGTGGGTTGTTGAAGTGGTAGGGCTCGTGGCGGTAGTGGCTGTGGCAGATGACCGGATGCTCGATGCCGTCGCTCTGCAGCTCGTCCTGTTTGTGAACTCCCTCCAGCTTCGCCACCAGCTCTTTGATGAACATCTGAGGACGAACACAGAGTGTCAGGAAGGCCTTTCACATGAGTCAGTACAGCTACCATTATCAAAGGATTTTCTTCTGTCCACACTGTATGTTTTCAACGTGATGACTCCCAATATTTAAAATCTATGCTGATTTTAAAGGACACGACAAACGCTCTGTGTTTAGAGCCACAGACCAGGAGCAGGTGAGAGGTAAGGACAAACATGTTGTTGATTTGCTTCATTGACATTAACAAAAACAGCATTTTGCAGGTTTTAATGTGGTGCTGGTGATCGTAGCTTCAACACATTTGATCCAGATTCAGTGAATCTCTCTTTACCGTCTGTTATGTGTGGGCTTTCCTTTCAAACCTGCTTTAAATGAGACATACTAAGTGACTGTTTCAGGACTTTTATTTCAGTTCACTCACTCTTTATTTAAAGTAGAGGTATGTACACTTTTCTATATGTGCTGATCCTTTCATTACGTAACGTTTGCTCTGGTCGGAGATTTCCTCGGTTCAGTACGTCCTGTGAGCCAGACAATTATTTTCAGTCTATTCATCCACTTACTCCCAGAACACAAATTCCAGGACGCGAGTTCCACCCAGACGGTTTTGGCAGTGCCTATGGGAAGGCTGAAGCATGCGCACTGGTTTGGGTTAGCCACACTCACTGAGCTCAGTGTCTGAATGACAAACTGGACTGAGAGGACAGAGATGGACACTGACAAAAAAATATCACTTCTCTGCATGCTTCTGTTCAGCCCGCTTTGCCAAAAATGTGCCGAAACCTCGACCCCAAACCCAAGGCTTACTTTGGATTCCTAACACACAGAATGGTGGACGAGCTTTATGAACAGTCTGTAGAAATACTGCAGGAGACCCACGAACCGTTCTTTCATTATCCATGCAGCTGATCGTTATTTTTGTCAGAAGATACTGAAAAGTTGGCGTTTTTATTCCCTACAGCCCAAATGAAAAGTGAACACTACAAATGTTCGATTCCCTTTCATAGAAACCCAGAGAACTCGTAAATATTCACATCTGAGAACCTGGAACTGAGGATGGTTTCATTAAAAAGCTGTTTTTCTTTTAATTTACACCGTTTCAGTTCTGTACTAGCAGAGTACTGATTGGTTTAGTTTCTGGGTGTGAGATGTGTTTTGTTATTTGTTCCTCATGAGATGAACCTGATCATGCCTTGACAACACTAAAACCATGCAACCTATTCAACACTAGCATCTGTCTCATTTCAAAGACGGTTTACATTGACTTGGCGCCCCGACATATACCACTGCTACAGACAGTCACAGCCCTGGTTGGATGCTGCAGATCGCCAGAACGGTGGAGGAGGTCTGAGCACGACAAATGAAAGATGAGGTGGAGTAGGTGCCATTTTTAGGGGTCCGAAGTTCTGTCACAACACTTTATATCGAAGCATTTGGATCCACGACTACAATATTAACCAATTATCTGTATCTGAATTATCAGTTATCTGAAAAACAAACAGCATCAGTCTTCATGTAGAAAAATAAAAAAAGTTGTGCTGAATAAATGTAGAGTTTAGTTATTTTTCCACACATTCTTGTTTGAGGGTTTTCAATGTTCTTGTGTCCATAGATGGACGAGGTTTTTGAAAGTCTTGATTCCATCCCCAGAGGATGAACTCAAGGCCCCTGTGGAGGAAATTCCCACTTAGTCCACTGCGTTGTGTTGTTGTATAAATGAGCTGCTGCTAAACAACATCAAGATATGTCAGCTAAGACGCCACAACGAAGTCAGCAGAATGTGGTCTGGATGCACATACCAGACGTGTTTCAGAATCATGTTTCATTGCTTTTGGTTTGTGATGGTGAAATCTGAGCTCCAGGGTCTGATAAGAACCACAGCGTCCAGATGTGTCGTGTTGTGGCAACAGGATGAGCAGCAGCAGACCTGCAGGCCTCCTCACTGCTCACTGTGTGCAGCTGTTTGACTTTTACAGTCACTCAGCTGACAGCAGCGGTGCAGTTATTTCTAGTCTTGGCCGTCGATGATACGGTTCTTTTACAATTAATCCACGCAGTAAAATATAAATGACACAGGAATATACAGAGCTGCTGACCGAGACTTTTTATAGGCAGTGAAAAGTCCACAGATCTTCAGACCTAAGCTGGTTTTTTATGTTCATGTCTTTATGAAGAAGTCCAGGCATCATGATGCAACATATTTCTTAGAATTGGGACTATTTGCAGGTGAATAATGAAGTTTAAAGTATTTGTGTCTGTCGTATAAGAGCACTCACCGAGCCACATCTACATTCAAACAGCTTTTGCCGGCTGTAATTATCCCTCGTCTTTATGCTGGCTATGAAGAGAGCCCTCGTTAATGAGTTTTCAATGCAAATGATGAGCAACAAAAGTCCTTGGTCCTCATTTTGCACAAAAACACAGTAAAAACCCACCAATGTGTCACTGTGCACTTACAGCTAAACTGTGACAGAGCGAGCCTCTTCATTTGAATAACAAAATTCACATGTACATGGGTATTTTTTAAAACGAGGCTTTTAAACTCTCAAAAAGAAAAAAAGAAAAAGGAAAACTCAGTCCACATTAAAATGTAAAAACACAGCTGGAGTGCTGTCAAGAGCCGATCCAGAGAAATAAGTAACCTGAAAGCAACGCTGGTTCCAGAGGCCTGAAAAAAATCAGTTTCAGTAACAACAGGGGAAAAGTCCTGTTAGCATGTTAGACTGTATCCGTCATGTCTGCCATCGCACAACGTGTAAACAAAGCCGGTAACGGCACTCCGACTCCAGGAAGCTGAAACCTCAGTTTTTCCTTGTTTACACATCAACTATGCAAACACTGAGTATCTCTGCCCTGGAGGGAGGTTTCTAGAAAGTCAGTTTTCTGTGACCTTAAGGTGTTTTTGTGTGGACAAAAGGACAAAATGAAGATTTAAAAAATATCCACACATGTGTGGACAGCAGCTGAAACTGTTAAAGCTTTAATTTAAGAAATGTGTTCATTTGAGGTAAACTTTGGAACAGATTTCTGCACAGAACAAGGACTGTACGTTTAGTCCACAGGGGTGTCCAATCCTGGTCCTCGAGAGCCACAATCCTGCATGTTTAAGAGGTTTCTCTCTTCCAGCACACCTGATTCAAATGATCAGCTCATCATCAAGCTCTGCAGAAGCCTGATAACCATCCTGATCATGTGAATCAGGTGTGTTGGAAGAAGGAAACCTCTTAAACATGCAGGATTGTGGCCCTCGAGGACCAGGACTGGACACCCCTGGTTTAGTCTCTAACCTCGAATTTCTGTTGGAAACATGTTGGGAAGGAATGTTTTGCATGAACAGGAGCAGAAACTGTTTCAATACACATACATAGTTGTTAATAAACTTTAGAGACAGACTTCAGTGACGCTCCACATCACAGTCTAACAAGCAGGTGGAACCAGACCAGCAGCAGCTCCACTGACCCTCCCTGCTCTTTTGCCTGTGTTTGCATCTCTGACCGGGCCACTGCCAGGACAGCCTCTGAGTCCAGAAAGAAGACTCATTGTTTCCTCATTGAAATGGAAAGAGAAAGGGCACGAGAGCACAGAAAGCTATTGTTGAGGCCTGTGGACGGACGGTGGGCTGAGGGTCAGATGCTGCAGCCTCGGTGCAGCTCTGTGTGCATGCAGGTGTACATCAGTGACTGTAATGTGTGGATTACCAGTCAGTGGGTGGAACTGTCAGGTTAACACATACCTCTGTGCTGTTGTTGCATTTTCGAAGAAGCTCCTGTCCACAAAAAAAAAGAGATAATGTCATAAACCATCCACATTCTATCCGTCACCATGAGACCACTAACAGTGAAATGGTATTAAAGAGGAAGAACATAAGAGGTGGTGGTACCTGTAGGGTTCTGACTCGCTCCTCGTCATTAGGCAGGTCGATCAGATCATCAATGTTCACCTCCTCTGGCATGTCGCTCTCCTGAAGGCGACACATGAAATACTTATGAGCCATGATGTGCACACTTTGAACAGACCTTCATCATCTGGGTCGACTCTTCTGAACCCTGAACAATCTGAGCTTTCTTCTTGCTGTTTCCTCATATAGCCCCATTTATTCCAGTGTGAGCGCTGGCTGTCAGGAGGGTCAAACATTCAGGTCTATAGCTGATTCTTAAATCAAGGTAAAGTTTGGAAAGTTCTGTCCTTCCGCTGCTGCAACTCGTGACACTCTCAGCGAGATATAAACACATCAGTGTATTTCACAGCTACAGCGGTGCTTGAGATGAAGGATTGTTCTGTGTGCCGTCCATGTTCCTTAGTGATTGATTCTAACACATGTGGAACTGTTTAAAACGTCTGGATCTGGATCTACAGTTTATTCACATGTAGCTCTTACAGCTCCAGGATTCAGCTGCATGGTTCACATTTATCTGACCCTTTGTTAACATAACAGGACGGAGACTGAGCTGGACCTGAACGCTGCCCTCAGCTCACAGTGGCAATGCTGTGATGTTCACTATGGGTCCGACGTTTAGGAACGCTAACATTAGCTAATCAGCACTAATTAGCAGCTGAAGACGGTGCTCCAGAACCACACCTGCCAGACATCAGTGATGATTGCCCTGGAGCTCCTGACCTACTCTCAGCCTTGGTCTCCCCGCCTCTGGTCCCGTCTGATTGGACCAGCACCACTCCTCCTCCACCCAGCAATCACCACACCTGGCTATAAAACCAACCAGAACCGTTCAGTCGGGCTGGATGGGGTTTAGTCTGAACAGTCTGGTGCCTCTTGCTCTGTGGGTTTTGGGTTTCGTAGCTTCTGTTGGCAGCTGCTGACTCGGTGGGAGTTCTCATGTGCGTCTCAGTGGAGACGATGCTAACTCCCGTTAGCAGCTGCCCAACTTCAAGAAGAAGTTACTCGTGTTTTGAGGCTTTTCGTTCTGTGTGTTTTGAGGATCATAACAGCCTGAAAAATTATCCCAACGCTGAGGTTCCAAAAACTGCACTTCCACAAATGACCACTTGAGGCTCCAAAACCAAGTCAATCCCCTATGCCCATGTTAAATGTCCAACTTTACAGCAAGTAAACATCTGTACAGTGTGATACAACATGAACCCAACAGTTCTGCTCTCTGAAACAAGTTTTTCTGTGAAGGTGTGAGTTTTCATATAACTCACATGTTAATATTAGAAGCTACAGCTGGGTGTGATTTAAGGCTGCTTTGAGTGACAGGTGGGCTCAGCTTTGTCAGCTCCACCACTTTGCTTTGGATTAACCAGGACCTGGGAGGAGTCAGGCTCTGCCAAGATGGTGATAGCTGGAGAAACCACACATAGCTGCTCAGGAAACCTCTGGCTGGAGCGTTCGTCCATCTTTATACAGAGTTAATGGCAGCAGGTCAGCCTCTGTATATTTTTGCTCATTCACGCTGCTGCCAAGTGCGTGAACGACTGTCCCTGTGGTGTCGTAGCTGCAAAGGGCTCACAGGAAATGTGGTGACAGAAATGTCATCAAACAAGTGAAAGTCTGGCGTGATGATTGCATTTGAGGAACAATCAGAACTGTGATCATGTGCGCCAACAAACAAGAACAAAAATGTCAGACACTTAGTGGGGCAAGAGTTAGAGGACCACTACAGCCAGTATGGGTCATCCTCTGGTGATCATACGTCTGTCCAAGATCTGCCAATCCATCCAGTCCATCCAGTCCATCCAGTCCATGCGTGCAGTGAAGGTACTTGTGAAGATGAAAAAACATTTTGTCTTTTTACATAAGACAGGGAGAAAATCTGTGAACAGCCCGCCAAATAAAACCAGATTTCCTGACACCTTAACCAAATACTTTCAGCTCTGAGAGCAGCTGATAGCTTCTGCACACATTGCATGACCATCAGTTGCATGTTCAGGCTTCAGAGGCTGAACAGTCAAAATGTCCACGTAACGCTGTAACAGTGGCCTGTTCTGTCTGAACAAACAGCCATTGTAGCAGCTGAGTGAAAGGACGTCCAGCCACCCGCTCACACCACTGCACTGCCTGTGTGATCAGGCCTGGGGCAAACACTGCAGCTCTACAGGCCACCAGCTCTACCCAGAATAAGACCACAAAGTCTAATGTCTGCTGACGTGTGTGGCATGACTTGATGCAACATTGTGATGCAATAAGAACAAAACTGATTCAAATGATCGTTTGCCTCGTTTATAATCTGGATGTGAATGTACTGACTTGGGCCGAAATCTGTGTCCCTCAGCAGAGCTGCCGTATCGCTGAGATCATCTCACTTCTGTTTTCTTGTAATCAACAAACTGGGCTTTTCAACACAAACCCTTCATGGCCATAAATGCAGCCGTCAGAGATCTGAACCTCCTGTCAGAGGCCTCAGCAGCCAGATGCTCAGTGTTTACCTCGGCCTGGGACTCACAACAGCTCTCCCTCCTCTTTTTTTCCTCATCTGTCACCCTTCTCCCAGTTCCTCGCTGCCCATGTAAGGCAGAAAGCCCCAAGACAGATAGGGATCTATGTGGAGGAGACAGCAGAGGACCTCTCATCTACAGGCCTTGTAAGGAGAAGAGGCTGCCCCACCTCTGAACACCCATAGATCACCGGAGGTCTGGAGATGAGTCTGTGGCGCCATCCCAGAGTGCCTTGACACCAACTTCTTGTCCAAACACAACAGCTTTCACTCCGTTTCTCAAACTTCCTGCCTCATTTCTCCACATATTGAAAAATAAATAAAAACAAACTTTTTTTCTCTTTTTTTTTTTTTACCCTTTCAGACAGACTGCTTTGTGATTAGAACATAGAGTGTTTAAGCAGCCAGAGCAGTGTGTTTCTCTCATCCACCCACCTGACCCGCGTACAGCCGGTCCAGACTGTCATCGATCCACTTCTCCACGTCCAGCCGCCGCTGCAGCTCCTTCCGGTTGTACTTCACGGTGACCCGGGCATGTCTCTTCGGGATGTTACACCCGTGATCCTCCAACTCTCCCATTTCTGATGAATGAACCTCGACGTTTTCCTCGAGCGTCGTCCCGGTCCGGTCGGCTGCCATGTCTGCTGCGGACTGGTCGGACTGGTTGGACGTGTGTGCGCAATGAGGAGCAGAGCGCAGCGCTGGGAGGCGGCCAGTCAGCCTCCAGCCTCCTCCTGGGCCGGCTGTTTACACGGTTCCTATACAGAGAGTCCCGAACTGTTTACATGTCTGAGATCACAGTATGGATATACACATATATATACATTTAAGCTCCTTTTTTAACCCCCGAACTGGAACAACTGGTTTCCACACTGTAAAACATGAAGCCAGTTAAATCAACTGATCTGTTCTGGTTTATATGAGGTGAATATAAGAGTTTACTTGTTGTTCAATTAACTAAAAATATCTTTAGAATAAAAAAGCAAACAAACACACAAGTGACATGTACCTGTACATGTAAATGAATAAACAGCTGAGAATTCACTCAGTGCATTAAATGAAGTTCATAAGAAACATTAGCATGAAGCAGACTACCCAGAATGCACTGCTAGACGGCTGAAAGGCCCCTCAGACTTCAGGGTGTTTCCTTCCATAATAATTAACACAGTTCTAATATGACAAAGGTTAACAGTGAATCCAGCCCGTACGTCCACAGACTTTAATGGATTGACTGTGACAGGCAGCAGCTTCACATCAAGTCTTTACAGCAGCCTCTAGTAAAAAAAAGGTGAAAGGTTCTCTGTGCTGTTTGATGAAACTCCTTAAACTTATAAAACAAAAACAAGTCTGCCTGGAACCACGGCGATGTGACTAGTTGCTTCAATTTAAAATTTTAGGCTCATTGAAAGTTCACAAGTTCATTTACCTTCAACTCAGTCAGTCGTACACGTTCATGACTCCTCAGATCAGTTAATCAGCTGAAGTGCAGCTGACTCAGGCAGCAGTGGAACTGGTTGTTTCTAAGCTGACTGAACTGAAAGTGTTTTACAGTGTACAGGAATAGTGAGTCATTTTGCATTCTGATAATGTCAAAGGTCACAACTGTTGGAAAGAACATCAGCCAGACGTAGAATAACCTCCGATCTGTAGAGGCCTTTAGCCTCTGCTCAGAAAGATGTCAGGAAACCTTCATTCTGTGTCTGTGTTCTTCTATAACGTCCTTGAACGAACACATTTTTGTTTCACATGTCAAATCCAGTTCATCAGGACATTTAGTCATGTCCCATAGCACCTCTTTTATTTTCACTTTTCCTTCTAAATAAATTAGTTTGCATCATCTTAAACACACACTGTTTCCATTACGTCTCCCACACCGTCTCAGCTGGGAGCAACAGCCTGGAGGTGTGTTCTGGCTCATTGTCCTGCTGAAAAACTAATGATGGTCCCACAAAGCTCCAACCAGATGGGATGGTGTGTTGCTCCCCCCACCCGTCGCTGTTCCTTCACTGTGGGAACCACACAGGCAGAAGCCCTCCACTCACCTTCTGCGTCTCACAAAGGCTCAGAGGACGGAACAATAAACCCACATTTGGGCTCATCAGTCCAGATTTCCTCATGTTACCTCCTGGTCTCTCACCAGTGGTGGCTTTGCAGCAGTTCCACCATGAAGCTCTGACTCACACAGCGGAGATGTTTGAGCTGCTTGAACTGTGGGAGCCATCGATGTGGGCTGTAGTCTGAGCTGCTGGTTTCTGAGGCTACTAATGCTGCAGCAGAGGGAGCTCTTCTGTCCTGGGGTGGTCCTCAGGAGAGCCTGTTTCATCACAGTGTTGGATGATTTTTGACCCCATAGATGCTTAAAGAATTACTTTTTTCTTTTAATTCCATCACTTAACATTTGACAAGAACAACCTCTCAGATCCTTTTCAGGTGATGATCGTATAAAGCTGGATTAGATGTTGCCTTCTTTTGTCTCACTGGATAATAGCATTACAATAACACATTACATCACATAATATTTCCTTTTAATTGTGTCTGATAAAGGTTATGTGTTGGTGAGCATCTGCTGCTTTTCTGTTTTATATAATTGTAAATTGACCTTTGTTATGGTTTGAATTGGACAAAACAAGTACTTCAATGTCATTTTATATTTTCTGATGTTTAGGGACAATTTAGTGATTAAGAAAACTATTGAAGACCTGATGCCTCAACTCATTAACTACCAGCACACATTAGCAGAGCACCAGTGGTTCTATATTACCTGCACCTCCTGACCATGTGGAAGGAGGAACAGGCCTTTGAAATAGAGACATACATCCAGAATCGCATAAAAGCAAATCTTTTATTTCACAACACAACCACAACATGATGAACTTAAATAATATGGATGAAAACGTAACACAAACTTTGGCATAAACACAAAATGGCACATGAAGGATCAGTAGTATAATATATATGTATTTATAAATTACAGTACAGGCTGACTTTGTGTGATAAAGCACTTTTTTCTTCTTCTTATATCCCTGCACATTACATCTTTGGGATATTTCACACAGCCCATGAAACATCCAGATACAACCTCCAGCCGGGTCTTCATTCAGCATCATATAAATATATCTCTACATCTGTGACAATCAACGTGGAGCCATAAACACAAGTTTCAAATAAATAAATAATAGAAAGAATAAAAAATGATGGTGCGCACAATAAGGAAATAATGACCAAAGGAAGATTGAAAAGCAAAACAAAAATCCTGTGTGGAAAAAAAAAAGAATAAACAAAATGAACATATTAAAGAGAAAAACCCAATAAATCAGAGTTTTGGGCAGGTTTTAAAAGGTTTTCAGAGTACTGTATCGTCTTGTATTTGGTATGTGATGTAGGTCCTGTGAACAGTGAGTCGTATTATTTGTCTCTTTGGGTCTTAAACATGGAAGAGCTTTGCCCCATACACATTTTCAATAATCTTTGTAAATCATCTTAATAGTTCACTGGTCAGAATCTTGCCTTTACTCTGACACTAAACGGTTTATTATCTTCAGCATGACCATGAGTTTTCAGCTCATGGATTTGCGCCTCTCCTCACCGTACGTGAAGAGAGAGGAGCAACAAGTGCTAATATATTTCTACCCCTGTTTGAACATCCATGTTTCATCTGAGCCCTGCTCCAGAGCCCAGACCGGCCTCGTCCCTCCACATGAAGTCCTGACGCTCCCCCCTGGCCAGGCTGCTCTCCACGGGGTTGTGCCTGTAGCCAGACCTGCCGTCCGGGCAGAGCGACAGGCTGAGGCGAGCTGTGCTGTTGCTGATCTTGAACAAGCCGTTGGGACCGAGGAAGGCTTCTCTCTCATTCCCTCCCAGGTTGTTGACTGTCTCCAAGTCATTATAAACCGCAATGTCGCTCAACTGCTTCCTGCCCTGCAGTCTCCTCCTCCTCCTCAGGAAGACAATACCAGCCACCAGGACCAGGACCAGGACAGCCAGAATGCAGGAGATGGTGACGGTGGTGGAGGAAGGCTGGGCGGCTTGGCGCAGAGCAGGCTTGAAACTAGGCTGCAGCGTGAACTCACAACTAGGGCCCATGAAGCCCTTTGGGCACTGACATACAGGCCCTGTGAAGTGGGTGAAGCAAGTGCCACCGTTCTGGCATGGACGGGCACCGCAGGCATCTGAACGCACACTGCAGTTCTTGCCAGTGTAGCCCAGGGTGCAGGAGCAGGTGTAGTCATTCACACCATCTTGGCAGGTTCCAGCATTCTGGCAGGGACTCGAGGCGCAATCATCAATGTTGACCTGACAGTTGGCACCAGTGAATCCTGCCTGACAGCGGCACAAGATGCTCTGGCCAAGGTCCAGACACTCACCACCTGCAGAAGGGAGAAATACTCTGTTCAGCATCCAATAGATCAGGGGTGGCCAGTCGTTTAAAGAAGGGGTGTTAATTGGATTATGTCTGCTGCAAGTGCATTCATGCAGGAGTGCTGACAGTAACACCTTCTCACTACAGAAAGTTGCTGGTTTGCTCTTCGGCCACAAGATGTCACCAGAGGCTTCTCCTGCACACTCACCGTTCAGACAGGGCCTGTTGCTGCAGCGGTCCAGCTTCTTCTCACAGTTGGAGCCGGTGTAGCTGGGAGGGCAGCGGCAGGTGTAGCCGCCGGTCATCGTCTCAACACAGGTGCCGCCGTTGAAGCAGGGACCATCAGCGCATGTCATGGCGATGATCTCGCAGTTCTTACCGTAGAATCCCTGAGGGCAGGTGCATGAGTAGTCGTTCTCCAGGTCCTGTAGGAGGAAGAAAAACCTTCAGGTTAAGGAGGAAAGATCTAGAAACAGGGATTGGAAGCAACGGTTCCATTTGTCATTAAAGGCCCTTGATTCAGCATGCACTCTGTAAAGTCTGGAGTAGACTAGCAGAGGCTGACAGGACCAGAAGTCAGTCACACCACCAGCTCTTTGTCCTAATGTGTTTCCATTATAAGACACATGCTGTAGATACCTGGTTTTGCTGCTACAAGTGCAACAGATGTATTTTACACCACTAGCACAGCTGCATGCAGCTCAGAAGAACCATGTACGCTGCTCTTATCTTATCTGTGATGGTCTTTAATGCACTTCTTACATCTTCAAGCTGAACAAATGTCATCTCACTGTACACTCACATTGCAGCTGCCTCCGTTCTTGCAGGGGTTGCTGTCGCACTCGTTGGTTTCCAGCTCGCAGTTGGTGCCTCCGAAGCCGGGCCGGCACGTGCAGGTGTAGCTGCCCTGGCCTGTGTTGGTGCAGGTTGCGCCGTTGGCACAGGGCTTGTGGTTGGTGCAGTAGTTGAGGTCCTGGTCGCAGAAGAGCCCCCCCCAGCCCTCCTGACAGTTGCACTGCCACGGCTGGCTGCACGTCCCGTGGAGGCAGCCTGGGTAGCGGACGCATTCATTGCAGGAGGGGCCCTGCCAGCCCATGCGACACGTACAGCCCCCTGGGGCCTCGCAGTAGCCGTGCTTCTCACTGCAGTCCGCCGAGCAGATGGCTGGAGAGGAGAGGGAGGGGAGGGTGTGTGATTACAATGGGCACGCCTTCTCATACATCTCACACACACACACACACACATGCATACAGGGCCCTCAGTCTGACCCCAGCCCTGTTCCAGACTTCACTGTTGGTTAAGTATTAAGCCAAGCAGCTGGTAGGCACACTGCCGGAGAAAAATGCTTTCTTTTATCTCCTCACCATTGTACACACACACACACACACACACACACACACTCAGATCACCTTGAAAAATGTGTGTGTCTCACAGGGGCCACAGCTCTTTCTCTCATTGTAAGAGAACAAAAGGCAGATGGAACACCACAGACTGTCTTGCAAAAGACTCAAACCCAGCGCTACAGGACGTCCCTCAGATAAAAGAGATGCTCTGCATACTCTGAGAAGCTCCCGGCTCACAGTCTCTACAGGAGATCAAACATCAACTACACGCTAAGTAGTACGATGAAAACTGTTTTAATCCATGCCTTTACAAAACTTGAGTCAGATTTGTCAACTGATGGAAAGAGAAAGAGGCTTCCTGCCAGTATGATGCTCCTCAATGTCCCACTTTAAGTGTGTCTTTAGTTCCCTCAGTTCTCCAAATTTCCTCAGTTTCTTTAACTCATTAAATGTGTGTTTTTGTTTTTTTTTGTCAAATGCTGACCATGCACGGTTTTGTATTGTAAAGGAGAGCAGAGGAAACTTAATATCATGAGCACAGACACTGTTTGGAATAACAGCAAACAAAGAAGGCATTCATTTGGTGTGTTTTATACGATTTTTAAGATTTTTTAAACATGTTTGATTCTGTTTTATATATTAATTTACCAGATTTCTTTTTATCAAATGTAAGTGTTGAGATTTTGTTTTTTTGCCACCATATAGCAGTTAATATCTGGTAGTATTAAAGTAGATATACGGTTTTTACATATTCACTGAATAACTGACTTCAACACTCTGTGCTAACAGTGAATATTATATGTGATAACAAATAATTCTATTGTATACCTCATTAGGAAATCTATATAGAACAGAAGTTATTATTTCTGAAATTCAACTTTCTCCCTCCACAGGTGAGTCACTGAACTTCACCCAAAAACCACCGGGTTTGAGTGTCTTGCTCAAAGGCACTTCAGTAGATATGATTGTAACTTACGCTCAGAGCAGTAGTTTCCTTTCCATCCCTCCAGGCAGATGCGGTTGCCCTCTTCGTCGCAGGTGTAGTGGCCCAGCGTGTCGTCCCTCGGCCTGCAGTAGTCCGCGCAGCCGTCTCCAAAGTAGTACTCGTCGCAGAAGACGTGGTAGGAGTAGCGCAGCTCGCTCTGCTCGCCAAAGTGCACGTCCTGGGACCAGTCTTCTCCGATAGCGAGTCTCCTCCTGGTCGCCAGACGGCTCACAAGGTTGTTTTGGTTGTCTGCAGGTGGAAGGGAAGTTTTTAACAAACAGCATCTCGTGAGGAAACTGTGTGTGTGCCACGTGGAAAAGGCGCACATTTTGACTTATCGGTTGGTCATTTATAATCGGCCACAATATCAACCTACCTGTGTATTCAGTCGGAGATTCCGCATTCCAGGCTTCGATGATCAACGAAAATGTTCCCTGCAGCAGAAAAAGAAGAAGCGCGTTCAGTGCCTGGCAAGCGCAGCAACAGTGATGCGTAATCATGCCGGTATTTACGCACTGATCTGCTGTCGATATATGAAATGTCAGAGCCCCAGGATCACTAGCATCGTTTTGTGTAACTATGATTTTGCATTTACCGGCCACTTGAAGTGGAAAGGCACCCTGATGGGAGCGCTGCTGGAGATAGAGGTGTGATCGGCCCTGATGACGTTGGTTTGTCCGGTGCCAAAGGTGCAAGGCGGCTCCGCGGAGATCACATCCTCCGGGTGTTTAAGGCAAATCCTGAAAAATATGTGACAGTCTCTGTGTCTTCTGCAGATGCGCTGCGCCGTGTGGAATGAATGAATCTTCAGCTCAAACACGCCAGAGGACACAACCTGTAATGACAAAAACACGGTCACTTATCAAGTGCGTAAAGAAAACTTGAGAATGTTGTTTCAGCATAAACAGAAGCCAACTTACTACGTGCACTAAGGCCAAAGCCAAGAGGTATCTAAGGTGTAGATTTGCCATTTCTTATTGAAGCTTGCCCTTCAATCCTAAACGGATGTCCTCATTCGCCGTGCGCAATAGTATTCCCAAAAGATGCTGCAGGAAACTCTTAAAGTGTCGGCGAAAGTTTCTCAAAACAGTTTCATCACTCTGAAGTCTGTGATCCTCTTGGTGTCTCCTAAATCCTCCTGATAGTCTTCTCCTGCGTCCTACTGTTGGCACTACGCTTGTTTGGGTTCTGGTGCGTAAAGGCGCAGATTGGTTTTTATACCCTCTGAGGTAGCGCGTCACTGTCAAAGAGGTGGAGCCGGAGCAGACCTCAGGGGAGCAGCCTGACACGCGGGGCCTGCCTGGGGATTTAGACAACCCACATTACATCTGGACAAAGTTACAAGGAATATGCATAAGAAGCTGGCCTAATGTGGCATATGTGCTTAGCATTACTGCATAATTCTGAGTCAGCCAAAATCCAAACTGATGAAACTGCATCTGATGTATAGGCTCTCACTGAGTTTAGTCTAGTTGAAGTTTTAGTGATGTCAAATAGGAGCTTTTCTTTCTGAGGGGCATGTGATTGGAGTGGGCCCTTCTAGAAGGACTGCAATAAGTATAAAAGCAGGTTTTCCCAAAGAAAATCTTGAATAAACCACGTCAGCAATGGGACTTTGTGCAACTTGTCAAACTATGAGCGTGCCACAACATTCACTAATAAGGAATCCAGCATTCCATCAAGCACAGAGTGGACCTCAGACTCTGTGGTAGATCATTGTCTAGAAAGTGTTTTTCACTTTGGAGTCGGCCTAAACAAAGATCAGAGGGAAGCGGGGAAGAATAGCATATAGCGTTTCTTTCTTTACAGCCAACATTATAATTGCTCTGACGCGTGTGAGGTGACAAAGAGTGGGCAGGTCCCGGATAAGACCTTATTGTGCGTCTAGCGGTTATTCAGGCCTCCTCCGCTGCGCCTGAAGAAAGCCTGGGGGTTGTTGTCCTTCTTTGTGTGTGTGTGTGTGTGTGTGTGTGTGTGTGTGTCCTGGAGGGTTTGCGCTATCATGTTGCCTTTGTCTGGACCTCATGCGAACAGCTGTATGGTAATCAACGGCACATGGTCGAGCGTGCGGGTCTCCAAACCCGGCTATTGTCTCCACCAAGCGTCTACTCCCAGTGCGCGCGTGTACACACACACACACACACACACACACACACACACACACACACACACACACCCCAACCGCTAACCCCTTATTGATTTAGGGAGAGCCCTGCTCGGCTGTCGGCTCCAGCAGCACCTGTCGCTGGCAGGGATGTGATGGAGGGTAAACACACCTAAACTCTGACATGAACTGAGAAAAGCTGATCTCAGCTGCAGCACTGATCGTTATCATCCAGCCTCATAGCATAAAAAGCAGCTCAAAGTTAACGTTAGCTTTGGAGCCTTTCAATAAGTGAATGATTAACCGGCTGTGGTGGTTGTTTATGTGGAGATGCGTTCACGGCTTCTGCGTCCCGATGAGATGGACTGAAAATCACAACATGGTTTAAAACGGATTGTCTGATTGGAAGAACAGCAACGATTCACCACGAGTTTAGAGAAATTAAAGAAGTCAAAGATGTCTACAGATCTGCTGCCTCACTGCAGACATGTTGTGGTGTGTGTGGGGGTGTGTAGTCAAAGATGTCTACAGATCTGCTGCCTCACTGCAGACATGTTGTGGTGTGTGTGGGGGTGTGTGTGGGGGTGGGGATCCATTCATATGAAAATGAGCGCAGGGGACGCGTGCCTGAAGTGGCCCCCTGTACATCCTGGCACGCTTCCCTGCAGAACAGCAGGGACAATGCAGGGAGGAAGCACTCACAATGGAGAGCTAGCAAAGTAAGATGGCTGGAGTGCTGCAGTCTTACACTTCTTTAACCTTTTAGCATGTCTGAGGACAGAATCTTTATTTTAATGTGCTGCCACACAACTGGAGCTCAGTGAAGGAGGCCTGGTCAGGGTTTATGGCTGAGGGGGGCCAAACTGTGAGGAAGATGTGGGCTATAATCTGAGTTGTTCAAAAATAAATAAATAAAATAACAATAATGGTAATTTCAGGCCTATTCAGAGTGATTGTTGATCGCTGTTAGAACTTACATGCATGTCTTTGTCAGCTTCAGTGTTCATTTGAACTAATGAGCTGCCTCAGTGCATTTGATTTAAAGGTGCTTAACTACAATAAATCAGACAGTTCAAAAGAACCAGTGGCTGCAGAGCCAACACTCTGCTCAGCTCGTTCATACGGCCACGTCATCTGACTTGACTTTTTCCAAGATGTCTTATTTATGTGATATATAAAAATCAGTTCTTAAGGTGATGAGGAGTAATGAAGCTGGTCTCCATCACCGATATGGGAGTTCATTCTGCCATTAATATAATAAAACCCCAGACAGTGATGGTGGGATGAGTTTAATGAGTGTAGCTTTGGGGCTAACATGTGCTTCTCCTCACAGCGCCAGGTGAAAGCTCTGGTGAGGCCTACAGGACAGAGGAAACAGATTTAGTCACATGATTAGTGATTGGACTTAATTAATAACTGAACGACCATAGAAGTGGGTACGTGGCATTATTTTAAGAATGTGTGAAATGAAAAGCTTGTGCTGATTCACCTCTCTTTGGTCTCCTCAGGTGTTCCAGCCAAAAGTGTCCCCATGGCCTGGAACACCTTTTAAAGGTTCCGGGAGAAACCAAGTGTAGACGAGGAGGGGGGGGGGGAGTAATTTCTTCAGGTGATGAAACAGGCAGATTGCTTGATGAGGATGTTGTTTTCAGGAAATAAACACTTAGTTTTAATGTTGGTTATTAAAGTTAAAAGTAAACAAGTATTGCATTTTTGTGTACTTCTTGTGTGTGATTATTTCAGGTTAACCCGTACGCTGGTCGGCCTGAGGGGCTGATTAGGGGCTGCCTATAAAAAGCTGGGCTAATGTAAAGAGACAAACAGCCACCATCACTCTCAGAACACCTACAGCCAGTTCAGAATCACCACTTAACCTACCATGCACCGGACTGTGTGAGGAACCTGAAGGACCCAGAGAAAACCACAGGACCTTCTCGCTGTGAGATGAGACGAGTGCAGCTACACCACCATGCTGTCCTGTTCTCTGATCTATTGGATA